TTTGATAAACATATGATTCCAACAACAATTTTATCGATTTCACAGCCAATGTTTTTCAGAAGATATTTCAGTAAAAAGCAAAAAAACATGAGCATAAAAATGATAGGTATACGTACAGAACCCTCACTCCCGCCGTCGAGGAGACGGAACAGGGGGCGTTCTCCGGAAGGTTGACGCTGATGGGGTAGGCGTTGGCACCCAGCTTCTTGATGAGTCGTTCTTGGGCGTCGGTCATTTGGACGTCTCCAGCATGGGGAGCGACCTCGGTGTTGACGAGCTCGAGCTCCTTGCTGAAGTGAAGTCCCATGACCTCATCCTCCTCGCGGCCGTAGCGGTAGGTGACCGCCACGCGCGCGAAGACCCTCCTTCCACGCAGGTAGTCATGGTCCACGACAACCACACCGTCCACGGGGGAGGTGTGGCTGACGTGGTCCACGAAGTCCCGCCGACTTAGATACGCGGTGACCTTACCTGGGAAAAGAAACAGGATCATTTTCCATTGTCACATTTGTTACCTACATTAACAAAGATGCTTGCCATTAAATATACAAAAAGATATGTGGCATTAGTATTACCATTAGGTGAAGTCTTTTTGAAGACCTTAACAGCGTTGACCATTAAAATGGTTGTTGGTAGACTCGGAGGAGTGTGTGAAGTCCCGAAGACTGTCGGAGAGAAGCTGATGCCGAGCAGCGTGTGGCCGGTTCTTATACGGCCATGCAGGCGTAATGGGATTAGAAGTAGTCGACACTTCCTGGAGTTGGGTGTTTTTGTTTTCTATATTTCTGACCATGCCATTTTTGAAATAAAGGAAATGTTTAATTTCTAAGTATGCAACCTGAATCATAAGATTTTCAATTATATTAATAGGGATCACTTAGCCCTTTGACATATTTAGAAATTGGTGCATTATATCCCGGACAACATTACAAAATCGATAACGCGATCTTTTTTCGGTATGTCACGTGCCGAAATGGGTGGAGTCTTCTTCATAAAGTATCCTTATCTCATGCTTTTGATAACAATGTGTACAAGCTTGTCACACAGAGTGAGCAAATTAAGAATAACCCCAAGGATGAAGTTTGCCGTATATACATTTTTTTTTGGATCTTATATGAATACTTTACGGCTAATATCAAGATTTAGTATTTAATTATTGATACCGAGTTAAATGGAACCTGTTTCTTCTTTAACGATAGCCAAACGCTTCATAGCAACAACATTCTGCAGAGATTTAAGCCAGACGGAGGCAAGGGAAATGTTGAGTCCATGAAACAGGGGCGTCATTTGGGGAGGGGGGGGGGGGGGGGTAACCGCCCCGAAGACTTTATCCCCCTCAAGGTCTGGCTCGCCTATCCTCCCTAAGGGAATTCACTCCCATCATTTTTTCCTAAATTACCCAGAAATTGTGTTCACTTCTCTCACCATCTTGTCCCCAAGAAAAATCTGGAATGACGCCCCTGCTGTGAAGGTATTCAACAAAAAATGATTCCATGTAATCATACATTGAGCTCTTTAAAATTGTTTATGTAAAATATGTGTATAAATGTCTATGTATTGGTAACACACACACATATAATGCATAAAACGTTTGATATATAATATATATATAATATTATAATAATATAATTATAATTATTGCATTCATTTATGCATCTGTGTGTTTTATATATACACGCACACACACACACACATACACACACAAACACACACACACAACATGCGCGCACGCACGCACACCCACACACACACACACATATATATATATATACATATACACACGTCTGATTAATATTATTTTTTCTTCCATGCATTTACATAAGTTAGCTACTACAGATATAACCATCCGATATATTTAGAAAAAATGATTGAATCATATTTTGGATATACAAACATATATGCAAACATACCCACTTCCAACTACGTGCGCATAGAGTGTATATGTACTAATCTCTAATATGCGTATATATCATGTTCTGTTATGAATGCAAAATTGCGCTATTCTTGACAATAACCCTGAACCAAAAGTTATAACAACACAGGCGAACTTACTATCAAAAATAAATGGAGAACCAAACGTGAAGTATGAAGTTAAATAATAAAAAAAAATCGTAAAAAGCGTTAAATATTTCTATACCAAACCTTATCACGAAATAAAGATCATGTTGAAAATAGATAAATAATTAGAAAGCATGTACATGGTGAAAAAGGTGAATACTCGAAATTAAAACACTTTCACATGACAAACTTAGAGGATTGGAAAATGATAAAAAGGATTATTCAGTCACTAACTTGCTTAAGACACAATATGTCACTGCGATATTTAAGATGCATGCATCATTTCAAGAGTGTAAGAAAACGAAAAAAAGTAACTAATTTCGTAACTTACTAGTCAACATTTATGTCTTTTTAAGGAGGGAAATATTGTATACAAAGGTTTACTGAAAGTTTTTGTAAAATGTTCTTGAGCGAAACTATCGGATTGATAAGAGTTTTATATAGTTATGTTATATTAGTGTTGCCATTCATTCTGGCATATTTGTGCAAAATACGCAATGCAAACGTAAATTTGTTAGTCTGTCATAATTTTATATAGGCAATAGAGAGTGGATGATATATATATATATATGTATATATCACATATATATATATATATACACACACACACACACACACACACACACACACACACATATATATATATATATATATATATATATATATATATATATATATTATATATATATATATATATAATATATCATATATATATATATATATATATATATATATATATATATATATATATATAATATGCATATATATAATATATATATATATATATATATATATATATATATATATATATATATATATATATATATATATATATATATATATATATATATATATATATATATATATATATATATATATATATATATATAAAAATACATATATGTGTGTGTGTGTGTTTTATGTGTGCATACATATATCTATAAATATGCATGCACACATCATACATGTACATGTATGTCTGCATGTGTATGTATATTTCGTTTCCATGTTTACTTCTGTAATACACAAGGTGCGAGAGACATCACACGTTTATTTCAAATTTTATTGCAGTTTCAATAGAAAATAGGATTATCACAGAAAAGTGTCCATGAAAATATAAATGTTCAATAAATGATGCTCGTATGCTAAATAGAAGACAATATGAAGTGTCAATGATAATATTGTACGATGTAAAGGCCTATTACCGTGCGATTTTATAACTGCAATTTCCCTTCCGATTAAACTGGTGCTTGAAAGTCCAATTAGATAATAATGATTGGCTGATCCCCGAGCATCCTGTAGTTCCTGCTTGACTTAGTCCTCAGCAATGGACTGACCACGGCGCAAGTTAGTGAATTCCTCCACTTCGATATCGGCAGACTGAGTCTTGCGCAGTGGAGCCTTGACGGAGGCAGGGTCGGGGTGCACCAGCTTGAAGGGAAGGTCGGCAGTCAGGTCGCCGGCAATGGCGCCGCAGTTGAGCTTGACGCGGACAGAGTACGACACGATGATGCCCAAGGCGTCGTTGACGTTCTTACCTTCTGCCACCAAGGTAGACGATGCCAAGTTGGCGTCCTGGTCCTTGACTTGACCGTCGAGGGCGATGCCGAAGCGTCGCTTGTTGACGGAGGCAACAGGGTTGAGGGAGAAGGTCTTGGTGAGGTTGCATCCTGGGGTGATGGGACATCCTTCGCGAGACTCGAGTGAAGCCACAACTCGGCTGAAGTGAGTGTTGGTCATGGTGACCTCCACGTGCTGCACAACCTCAGCCTTCATGTTCTTCACGGTCTTCTTGGACACGTTGTTGACGGAAAGCGTTGCCTCGATGGGCTGTCCATGGAAGTAGACATCCTGAGGCAGAGTGACCTCGAGGTTGAGCCTTCCTGGGGAAAGAGTGAAGCCCTTGCTGACCAGGGTCTGTGGCTGACGGTTGCTGGATCCAGGACAGGCGTACTGGACCTTTCGGACAGCAAAGCCGACGGAGTTCCGCTTGTGAGGACGTTCCTCCTTGCGGTCAGCAACGTACAGCCTGAGATCGTAGATCACACCAAGAGGCTGGGTCTGTTTCGGAAAAAATATAATTGCAATAACATTAGCCATAGAGAAGTTTGAGTAGTTGATGCTTTCGAAGTTTTGCTAATATTAGAAGGAAAAGCATGCAAGTAAAAAGACAGAATACGTACAGAACCCTCACTCCCGCCGTCGAGGGAGACGGAACAGGGGGCGTTCTCCGGAAGGTTGACGCTGATGGGGTAGGCGTTGGCACCCAGCTTCTTGATGAGTCGTTCTTGGGCGTCGGTCATTTGAACGTCTCCAGCATGGGAGCGACCTCGGTGTTGACGAGGCTCGAAAAAAAAAACCATGAAGTGAATATCCTTCTATACTAAACCTTATCACGAAAAAAGATCATGCTGAAAATTAATAGATAAATAATTTAGAAAGCATGTACATGGGTGAAAAATGTGAATACGAAATTAAGAGACTTTCACAGACAAACTTAGATGATTGGAAAATGATAAAAGGATTAATAACTTGCTTAATTAAGACACAATATGTCACTAATATTCAAGATACATGCATCATTTCAAGAGTGTAGAAAACGAAAAAGTAACTCTAATTTCGTATTGTACTTACTAGTCAATTTATATCTTTTTAAGGAAGAAATATTGTATACAAAGATTTACTGAAAGTTTTTGTATAATGTTCTTGAGCGAAACTATCGATTGATAAGTTTTATATAGCTATGTTATATTGGCGTGTTGCCATTCATTCTGGCATATTTGTGCAAAATTCCAATGCAAACGTAATTTGTTAGTCAGTCATAATTTATATAGTTCTACAATAGAGAGTGGATGTCATATATATATATATATATATATATATATTAATATATTATATAATATATAATATATATATATAAATATATATGCACACACAACAACAACACACACACACACACACACATATAATATATATATAATATATATATATATATATATACATATATACATATATATATATATATATATATATATATATAATATATACACACACAACACACACACACACACACACACAACACACACACACACAACACACATATATATATATTATATATATAATATATATATATATATATATATGCATATATATACATACCATATATATATATATATTATATACATACATATATATATATATAATATATATATATAATATATATATATATATATATAATATATATATATATATATATATATATATATATATATATATATATATATATATATATATATATATATATATATATATATATATATATATATATATATATATATATATATATATATATATATATATATATATATAATATATGTAAATGCATATACATATATGTGTGTGTGTGTGTTATGTGTGCATACATATATCTATAAATATGCATGCACACATCATACATGTACATGTATGTCTGTGTATATATATTTCGTTTCCATGTTTACTTCTGTAATACACAAGGTGCGAGAGACATCACACGTTTATTTCAAATTTTATTGCAGTTTCAATAGAAAATAGGATTATCACAGAAAAGTGTCCAAAATATAAATGTTCAATAAATGATGCTCGTATGCTAAATAGAAGACAATATGAAGTGTCAATGATAATATTGTACGATGTAAAGGCCTATTACCGTGCGATTTTATAACTGCAATTTCCCTTCCGATTAAACTGGTGCTTGAAAGTCCAATTAGATAATAATTATTGATCCCCGAGCATCCTGTAGTTCCTGCTTGACTTAGTCCTCAGCAATGGACTGACCACGGCGCAAGTTAGTGAATTCCTCCACTTCGATATCGGCAGACTGAGTCTTGCGCAGTGGAGCCTTGACGGAGGCAGGGTCGGGGTGCACCAGCTTGAAGGGAAGGTCGGCAGTCAGGTCGCCGGCAATGCGCCGCAGTTGAGCTTGACGCGGACAGAATACGACACGATGATGCCCAAGGCGTCGTTGACGTTCTTACCTTCTGCCACCAAGGTAGACGATGCCAAGTTGGCGTCCTGGTCCTTGACTTGACCGTCGAGGGCGATGCCGAAGCGTCGCTTGTTGACGGAGGCAACAGGGTTGGGAGAAGGTCTTGGTGAGGTTGCATCCTGGGGTGATGGGACATCCTTCGCGAGACTCGAGTGAAGCCACAACTCGGCTGAAGTGAGTGTTGGTCATGGTGACCTCCACGTGCTGCACAACCTCAGCCTTCATGTTCTTCACGGTCTTCTTGGACACGTTGTTGACGGAAAGCGTTGCCTCGATGGGCTGTCCATGGAAGTAGACATCCTGAGGCAGAGTGACCTCGAGGTTGAGCCTTCCTGGGGAAAGAGTGAAGCCCTTGCTGACCAGGGTCTGTGGCTGACGGTTGCTGGATCCAGGACAGGCGTACTGGACCTTTCGGACAGCAAAGCCGACGGAGTTCCGCTTGTGAGGACGTTCCTCCTTGCGGTCAGCAACGTACAGCCTGAGATCGTAGATCACACCAAGAGGCTGGGTCTGTTGGATAGGAAATTTGATAATCATATGATTCCAACAATTTATCGATTTAACAGCCAATGTTATTTCAGAAGATTTTCAGTAAAAGCAAAAAAACATGAGCATAAAAGATAGGTACGTACAGAACCCTCACTCCCGCCGTCGAGGGAGACGGAACAGGGGGCGTTCTCCGGAAGGTTGACGCTGATGGGGTAGGCGTTGGCACCCAGCTTCTTGATGAGTCGTTCTTGGGCGTCGGTCATTTGGACGTCTCCAGCATGGGGAGCGACCTCGGTGTTGACGAGCTCGAGCTCCTTGCTGAAGTGAAGTCCCATGACCTCATCCTCTCGCGGCCGTAGCGGTAGGTGACCGCCACGCGCGCGAAGACCCTCCTTCCACGCAGGTAGTCATGGTCCACGACAACCACACCGTCCACGGGGGAGGTGTGGCTGACGTGGTCCACGAAGTCCCGCCGACTTAGATACGCAGTGACCTTACCTGAGGAAAAGAAACAGGATCATTGTTCCATTGTCACATTTGTTATAGACATTTACAAAGCTGCTTGTCATTAAATACACAAAATGACATGACTGGCATTAGTATTACCATTAGGTGAAGTCTTTTTGAAGACCTTAACAGCGTTGACCATTAAAATGGTTGTTGGTAGACTCGGAGGAGTGTGTGAAGTCCCGAAGACTGTCGGAGAGAAGCTGATGCCGAGCAGCGTGGAGGCCGGTTCTTATACGGCCATGCAGGCGTAATGGGATTAGTAGTCATACGGCGACACTTCCTGGGAGTTGGGTGTTTTTGTTTTCTATTCTGACCATGCCATTTTTAAATAAAGGAAATGTTTAATTACTAAGTATGCAACCTGAATCATGGGATTTGCAATTGTATTAATGGGATCACTTAGCCCTTCGACATGTTTAGAAATTGGTGCATTATATCCCGGACAACATTACAACTAAATGGATAACGCGATCTTTTTCGGTATGTCACGTGCCGAAATAGGTGGGTCTTTTTCTTAAGTATCCTTATCTCATGCTTTTGATAACAATTAGTACAAGCTTGTCACACAGAATGAGCAAATTAACAATAACCCAAAGGATGAATTTTGCCGTATATACATTTTTATTTGGGATTATATGATACTTTACGGCTAATATCAAGATTTATATT